AAGGAATGGCTTGTGTTTAATTATGTTAAAAACTGGAGACATCTAGTGAAAGTGATGTGTTATGTTACTGTGTTGAAGGAAAGGCTTGTATGTAATTATGTTAAAAACTGGAGACATCTAGTGAAAGTGATGTGTTATGTTACTGTGTTAAAGGAATGGCTTGTGTTTAATTACGTAAAAAACTGGAAACATCTTGTGAAAGTGATGTGTTATGTTACTATGTTTAAGGAAAGGCTTGTGTTTATGTAAAAAACTGGAGACATCTAGTGAAAGTGATGTGTTATGTTACTATGTTAAAGGAAAGGCTTGTGTTTAATTATGTTAAAAACAGGAGACATCTAGTGAAAGTGATGTGCTATGTTATAGGAATGGCTTGTGTTTAATTACATAAAAAACTGGAGACATCTAGTGAAAGTGGTGTGTTATGTTACTGTGTTAAAACTGGAGACATCTAGTGAAAGTGGTGTGTTATGTTACTGTGTTGAAGGAAAGGCTTGTGTTTAATTATGTTAAAAACTGGAAACATCTAGTGAAAGTGATGTGTTATGTTACTGTGTTGAAGGAAAGGCTTGTGTTTAATTATGTTAAAAACTGGAGACATCTAGTGAAAGTGATGTGTTATGTTACTGTGTTGAAGGAAAGGCGTGTATGTAATTATGCTAAAAACTGGAGACATCTAGTGAAAGTGATGTGTTATGTTACTGTGTTGAAGGAAAGGCGTGTATGTAATTATGCTAAAAACTGGAGACATCTAGTGAAAGTGATGTGTTATGTTACTGTGTTGAAGGAAAGGCTTGTGTTTAATTATGTTAAAAACTGGAGACATCTAGTGAAAGTGATGTGTTATGTTACTGTGTTGAAGGAAAGGCTTGTGTTTAATTATGTTAAAAACTGGAGACATCTAGTGAAAGTGGTGTGTTATGTTTAAGGAAAGGCTTGTGTTTAATTATGTTAAAAACTGGAAACATCTAGTGAAAGTGATGTGTTATGTTACTGTGTTGAAGGAAAGGCTTGTGTTTAATTATAGTTAAAAACTGGAGACATTAGTGAAAGTGGTGTGTTATGTTTAAGGAATGGC